GGGCGGGGGAGAGCGAGGAACAGGTAGACTGGGGAGAGGGAAAAGCAGGCAGGGGGCTGACAAACGAGTAAGGCATGCGCCATCGGGGCAGGAGAGGGCAGGGAGATGGGCGCAGGAGTGCATGTCGATGGGGATGGGGATGGGGATGGGGATGGGGATGGGGATGGAGATGGGGAAAGAGCAGGGCGTGGGGGTGGGGGAGCTATGGCAGGGAAAGGCATACGCGGGCCAGCCCGACTGGGAGGCGCGGACGAGCAGACAGACAGCAGGGGCAGGGGCCGGGCCCGCACCTCCGTCGGAGTAGGTCTCGGTGCCGTAGCCGTCCTGGAAGCCGTCCTTCCAGAGCCCGGCGTAGCGCAGGCCGGACGCGCTCTCCCACACGCCGCTGCGCCCCTTCAGCCCGCCCAGCCACTCGCCGCGGTACGTCCAGCGGCTCTTGCGCTCCACGCCCAGCCCTTCACGCTTGCCCTGCTGCCAGTGGCCCTGGTAGCTGTGTCCGCCGGGCCCCGTGAAGACGCCCAGTGACTCGAAGCCGTGCGCCCAGCAGCCGCTGTACTCGCCCTGGGCGCCGGGCCCGGTGCACACGCCGTAGCCATGTGCCCGCCCCGCCTCCCAGCCCCCCACGTAGCAGCCCCCGTCGTCAAAGTCGAACTTGCCCCCGGGGGACATGCATGTAGTTGGCGCGGCCTCAGCCCCCCGGCGGCTCAGCGCATCCTGGGGCTGGAGAGCCGGCTGGGGGCCTGGGAGCCGGGCGAGGCCTGGGGGCGGGGGCAGTTAGACTGGGGCCGGGCGGGGGGGCCCCAGCGCGGGCTGGCAGGGCCGGACCCTCATCCTGAGTGGCTGCGGAGAAAGAGGGGGGGGGGGAGGTGATGAGCGAGGCCCCTCCTCTTTGCCCGCGGCTCCCTGGCCCAATGGCTCGGGGGCATTAGCACCGCCCTCCAACCCCCCACCTTCGGTAGCATCTTACAGCAGCTCTAAGCGTTGGAGGCACGGGGGCTCCCTCGCCTCTCTATTCTTGTAGAGGACCCCTCCCAGGACTTTGGGTCCCAACCCCAAGCGGGAGTCCCACTTCTCCAATCTAGACCCCCAACGTGTCCAGTGCGGATGGCAGTTTTGGGGAGGAGGGTCCTGAGGGGGGGCTGGGCAGAGTCTGAGGCCCTACGCTGACTTGGCTGCTGTCAGGACCTATCTGTCTCGGTTCTCCGGCTTCCCAGGCAAAGGGGGAAATGTAGCGGAGGAGATCTGAGCAAGGTGGGCAGAGGGTTTGGTGGGGAAAGGATAGGGATGGGGAGGCTCTGCGGGGCAGACGCGAGGGTGGGGGTGGGCAGGCAGGCAGGAGGGAGTGGGTAGGTTACTCACCATGTGGGCTGGGGCTCAGGCTGCCTCCCAGGCGCGGCGTCCATGGCTGGAGACCTCCACGCCGACCTCGCCGGGCAAACCAAGCCCCCTCCCCTTCCGGAGAGGCTGCTCCAACCCAGAGAGCAAAGGTGGGGGAGCCCAGCTGGAAGACCAGGCGGGGTGTGTGTGTGTGTGTGGGGGGGGGGTGAGGTAGTGGCGAGGGAAGGGGGGAGAACAGTGTAGGGGAAAAATTCTGCCTCGGATGGAGATAGGGAAGGGGAGCTGGGAGCTGGGAGCTGGGAGCTGGGTGGGAAGGGAGAGGGGGCTACGAAGAAGGGGTGTTTTTATTATGTTTTTTTCTTCTTATGGTTGGGAGAGGGAAAAAATATCAAAATTCCGATTCCATCCCAGCACAAATCAATGTTTGCTCCATCCCAGCATCACGGGGGAGGCTGGGCCAGGCAGATTTAAAGGGGCAGGGAGAAGAGAGGCGAGGCGAGGGTGGGGAGAGGAGATAGAAGAAGAGACAGTGGCGACGACAGCGGTGGTAGGAGATGCACAGGCAGAAAAGGATGGCTGCCTGATAAACCTGCCGCGGGAGGGGGCATGTAGACCCTAGGATGAGAGGCACAGAGACCCCCACGGTGGGAAAACCCCCTGGGATTCTGGCAGGCGGTGGGGCGAGGCCGAAGGGAGGGGAGAGGAGTAAGGGGGAGGAGACTAGCTGGAGATGGGGAGGCTGGGGGGAGGCCGAAGCCTGGCGGGGGAGGAGAGATGCTGGCAGGGCTCGGAGAGGGCCAGAGGAATACAAAGAGAGAGGTGCAGGGGTGAGAGCTGAAGAGGGAGATACTGGCGGAGAGAGAGGAAGGGAGGGAGACCCATTCTGGGGCTGGTGAAGGATGGCAAGGAGGAGAGAAGCGGGGGAGGAGAAGAAGGAGGGAGAAAAAGAAAAATTTACATATATATATATATATATATATATATATAGAGAGAGAGAGAGAGAGAGAGAGAGAGAGAGCGCGCAATAAGGGTTGTGAAGGGAGAGGGAAAGCGCTGCAGGGAAGGGCGGATGGGGAAGCATAGAACCCAGCAGGAAGAGTCTGAGCAGAGGCTGGAGGGCTGGCAGTGGTGGTGTGGGGCTCTGGGGAGAAGGCTGAACCTGCCAGCTGCTTGGACTGAAGCCAGGAAACCATTGATGTCTGTGTCCACCAAGTCCACTGTCCTCCCTAAGAAACCACTGCAGGGGGGCCAGGGGGCTCCCCCACAGCACTTGCTGGGGAAACTTGAAATGGGGCCCTGCCAGGAAGCCTGGCTCCACCAGTGCTTTTCCAGACCTCGACGTTCCTCACCCCCACCAGCTACTTCTCCTGGGTAGTCCCTCCGAAGGGGGAGGGCTGGCACGAGAGAGTATTGTTTTTGAATGGGGAACAGGGGGTCACGCTTGGTGGTGCCTTGAAGGTACTGGGGCTTCGCAAACCTAGAGGCAAAGGCACGTAGGCATGTTTGGGTGGGCCCTTACTGACGCGAGGTCCCCTGCAGCCTACGACCCCTCCCCGACCACTTTCCAGAGGGGTGGTGCATGGCGGGCCTCACTGTTTACAGCTGGAATAGGCACATGCTGTCTTCCCTGCCCCCTTGGCTGACTTAGATGCTGTCCAGTTACACCCAACCGCATACATAGTCAAGCGCACTCAATTGCCTTTATTTTCATACAAGGTCACCCCATCATTTTACAGAGAAGAGAACTGAGGCCCAGAGGGGGAAGTCACTCCTCGGAGGTCACACAGCAGAGGTGGCAGAGCCAGGATCAGAACACTAGACTTCAGACCTTTTCAGTCCCATAATCCCTCCCAGAATTCTGTGTGCTCAAGAACCTCCCTTGGATTCAGGAGCTCCATTTTTAATACTTTGGTAAAATAAAGAGCATGAGGTTTGGAATCAACAGGATTTTCCCTTATATTTGTTTTCCTAAAGGTGGATATGAGGTTGGAGAAACATGTACATTTTAAGCCTCTAGGGCAGTGGTTCTCAACCTTCCTAATGCCGCGACACTTTAAAACAGTTCCTCATGTTGTGGTGACCCTCAATTTCATTGTTACAAATTAAACATAATTAAGGCATAGTGATTAATCACAAAAACAATATGTAATTATTTATGTGTTTTCCGATGGTCTTAGGCGACCCCTGTGAAAGGGTCGTTCGACCCCCAAAGGGGTCAGGACCCACAGGTTGAGAACCGCTGCTCTAGGGCAGGGACTACATCTTAGTGCTTAGTGTGAAACAAGGCAGCTATGGGTCCATTTGGCCTTCCTTCCTTCCTTCCTTCCTTCCTTCCTTCCTTCCTTCCTTCCTTCCTTCTTTCCTCAAACATTGACGCAGTTTACTGTGTACCAGGCACATTGCCAGGAGCTAGAAAGATACAGTGGTGAACACTGGTGCTTTCTTTCAAGCAATTCTAATGCAGTTAGTGCTGTGATGGGTTCAAGGGCCAGAAATAGGGCATAGGGATGCAACCTAACTTAGGCTGGCTCCTCAGGGCAAGAGGCATTTAAGATGAATCCAAGGGCATTCTGGGGCAGGCCAAGCTGCTTCACATCACTTACCCCTAGGTATTCAAGCCTTCCTTCTTCACACAGTGCCTTGTCTTGTCCAGCCCTTAATATTCTGCTTTTCTCCAATAAAAGGGAAAACAAAGAAAAAAAATAGGACCAATCTATGGGCCTGGTGAGACCTGTGCCTTTAAAAATATATATATATTTTTATTGATATCACAGAGAGGAATGGAGAGGGATAGAGAGAAGCACTGATGAGAAACAGCAATTGACTGCCTGCTGCACACCCCTCACTGGAGATGAAGCCTGCAACCAAAGTACATGCCCTTGACCAGAATCGAACTGGGACCCTTCAGTTCACGGGGCCTATGCTCTATCCACGGAGCCAAAAACCGGTTAGGTGTGCCCTGTTCTTTAGGCAGGAAGGGTGGCAGGGTAAGTGGAAGGCAGGAGTGATGCCTTGTTGGTAGAGTAACTCTACAGTGAATTATCAGCTGCAAATCAAGGTGTGGGGTCTGATGAATCCCTGAATAAGTAACTGACAGAACTATGTTGGAACTTGTGGGGCACACAGTCCCAGCCCCCGATATCTCCCTGAGTAAGGTAGCCTTTCAGCTCCTCTTTAATGTGTTCCTATAGGTCCTATAATCTCTCCTCCGTCTCCGTCTCCGTCTCCTCCTTCTCCTTCTCCTTCTCCTTCTCCTTCTCCTTCTCCTTCTCCTTCTCCTTCTCCTTCTCCTTCTCCTTCTCCTTCTCCTCCTCCTCCTCCTCCTCCCCCTCCTCCCCCCCCTCCTCCTCCCCCCCTTCCTTTTATTTTGTTAATCCTCATCCGAAGATTTTTTTTAAAAATATATTTTATTGATTTTTTACAGAGAGGAAGGGAGAGAGATAGATAGTTAGAAACATCGATGGGAGAGAAACATCGATCAGCTGCCTCCTGCACATCTCCCACTGGGGATGTGCCCGCAACCCAGGTACATGCCCTTGACCGGAATCGAACCTGGGACCCTTCAGTCCGCAGGCCGACGCTCTATCCACTGAGCCAAACCGGTTTCGGCCGAAGATTATTTTTAAAGACAGTGGAAGGGAGGGGGAGAGACACAGAGAGAGAGAGAGAGAAACATTGATGTGAGAGACATCGATTGGTTGCCTCCCACACACACCCTAATCGGGGCTGGGGATCGAGCCTGCAACAGAGGTACGTGCCCTTGACTGGGCCAATGCTCTATCCACTGAGCAGAACTGGCTAGGGCTTCTTTTTTTAAATCCTCACCTGAGGATATGTTTTTATTGATTTTTTAGAGAGGGGGCGGCGGGGGGGGGGAGAGAGAGCGCACTCGCGAGAGAGAAAGAGCGAGAGAAAAGAAAGAAACATGGATTGGGTGATTCTTGTATGTGGCCCGACCAGGGATCAAACTCACAACCTAGGAATATGCCAGGATGGGGGAATCAAACTCGCAACCTATTGGGGTACAAGCCAACACTCCAACCAACCTAGCCACCCAACCAGGGCTATAATCTCTTCTTTTTGGGCAGAACCTTTTTTTTTTCTGAGAGTATATTGGTTTGTTTTTGCTACAATTTACCAATGCCCAGGGGTCATAGAAAAGGTAGGCAACATTAAATGGAGCAGCTCTGTGCTTGGAGCCAGGTACTGTGTGTGGCACTCCACCTACATTCCTTTGCTCAGTCCTCACAACAAAACTGTACCTGTAAGCTGGGCTTTCAAAGATGGCCACACCTATGCCTGAGCACTGTCTGAACTGCAGTTTGTATACT